ATATATCCCTATTCTAATAAAAGAATAATTTTATTCTCCTTTTAACATGTGTCACCCTATTAGGTCTCCTAATTAATGCATATTTTATTCTCTTTTTATCATGTGTCACCATATAATGTTTTCTAATTAATGCATGCCACTTGTCAACCTATTGATTATCCATTTTAAATTTTAAATTTTAAATTTTCCACTCTAATTACATTAAATTAATAACATTAGAATAAAACTTAAAATAAAATTAATACAAATTATAAAATGATATAATTTCACATATTTATTTAAATCAATTATTAAAATTTATATAACTAAAAAAATCTCTTAATTAATAATTTATTTAAAATAATTGATTAGTATTTGAGTTTTTATTATTAAAGTTTAATTAATTTTGTAACCGTGGTTTCCACGGGTTAAAAACTAGTATATATATATATATATATATATATATATATATATATATATATATATAATGTGAGATTAATTATACGTATACACAATTTAACAATAATGTCATTTTAAGTTATAAAAATATTTAAGTATCGTATATTCATATCGGTTATAATTTTTAACATATATGTAACATAATAATAATTATTTTACTACTATATAAACAATTTCATATATTTGTTAATAATTAATGAAAATTAATATGGTAATAGTGTTAATCCAAACAATTAATTAGTATATTTACAATTAATATTCTGACTTTTATAAAATATGTCAAATAATTAGATGGCTATAAATTCAAATTTTGCATAGTCAAAAACATAAACGTATAGAAGCTCACGGTCTAATTATGAAGAACATCTCAATTTTAATTGTCTTTATGCTTGTTAGCATCCTTGCTATAGGTAATTTTATTGTCATCGTTGCCCAACTATCTATCAACTTTTATTTTAAATTGTCATTCATATATTTTTTTAGTATCCCTAGTCCTTCAACTTTGAATTGATCTTATAAAAAATTGATTAATGTAATATTTGTCCGGTTTTACCGGTAAAAAATACATAACTTTATTATTTTATTATGCTTTTTAAGTTAGTCATGACCATCAATGTGCCTTACTTTTAAGTACAATGACATTATAGCTCATTATGTTTGTTTTATGGTCCAATTAGATCCTTTTGCTATGACATATTATATTAAATGACGATAATCGTTTTTGTGTGTAGGTAGCATTAGTATGACTGAAGGGATAATAAATGATCCGACACATTGCTGCACCCCCGAGTCGGTTGATTGGTTGCCGTTTTGTTGCTGTCTTACTGGAAAACCGATTACGGTAGAAAACTGTGGTAGTAAAAGTAAATGTTATGTTACCTTTCAAGAATGTTTAGAAAATTGTTCTATTAGTACGTGTGATGTACCAGATTTCAAGTTTCAAACAATGAAGACAACTAAGTAAAATAGTTGTTGTTTTCTCTATATATTAAAACTAAAAAGTCTCCTATCCTATTACATAGAATCTAATTGATAAAAAACGAAAATTATATAAAGGAACAAAACTTATTTTAGCGGGTAGGATAACAAATTTGCAAATCGTATATGAGATTACAGATCTCATAAAAGTTTATAATGTTTAAATAAATAGAAGACAAAATTTCATAATTAGTGGATATGGTTTGTAAAATATTGTATTTTAAGGACTTCTATAAAAAAAGTAACACAGTTGGTCCTTATGGTTTTGAAAATTGTATGAATGATCATTCTAGCGTTAACTTTAACTTTTGTATAGTTAGTTTTTTTTTTCTAAATAACCAAAATACCCTTGGACCAAATCTGAAAATTGTATATACCTTATGGATCAATTCTAGAAACTTGAATATATATATATATATATATATATATATATAATATATATATATATATATATGCTTAGGTTATTTTGTTTTTACTAAGTATTGTGTGCCAGAATGCACAGATCTGGTCCAACGGATGAAATTTATCAATGGACATGATTTGAGAGTTTATGATATTACAATGGGGTAACATGTACCATATAATCACACAATTTTTAGCAAAAAGGGTATTTTGGACAATTAACTACATTTATAAAAGGAAATTTTCAGATTTTTAGGGATGATTAATTCTCCTAATTTAAAACAATATGAATTTTTTAATTAATTCAATTTCAATTTTTACCGATTTTATTCTGTCAGAATATTTTTTGTTAGAATGATGCTCTTTCAGAACTTTATTCTAATAGAATATTATTTTGTTAGAATGATGTTCTTTCAAAATTTTATTCTAATAGAATATTATTGAAGAAAAACAAAATTCTTGAATCAGATGTTGAAAAATAACAAACATTCTAATATATTCTTATACACCGAACTTAAATACAAATTCATACATATTCTTACAGACTAAATCCTTATACATTTAATATAATTATACATATTCTAAAAGAATATCAAGGTCTTTAACGCCTTCTTCCAGCCATTCCTATCACAAATACAACAAAAACTAATAATTGTTAAAAACATGTTACTTGCAATTAACTATCACTTAATATATTCCGGTAGAATACATAGAATATGACAGAATACATATAATACATTCTGAGAGAATACATCGATTTTATTCTGGTAGAATACATTCTGATAGAATACATAGAATACATTCAAAAGTATTGTATTTACTGCTAATATAATTTTAGATTTCAAATATACAATAACGAGGGACAATAGAAATTGGAATTCAAAATCACAAATTGAACCAAAATAATACACAGACAAATTAATTATCTTTTTAAACAATTACATAAAACATGTGTTACTAGTAATTCTTACAGAATGCATACCACAAGGTTAAAGTTACTTGTAATAGTTTACCTATAAACATAATTTCCAGCAACATATTTGATTTAGAATGTATACCACAAGGTTCAAAGAGTAAATTAATGTGTGTTGATGAAAAATAAAAAGGCACAAACAACCTAGAATTGTATTCCATAACCGAAAGAAAAATATATATGTCAGATCCAATAAAGCATATAAACGTGGTTTTCATATAAGATTTGAAAACATTATTTTGTAAGAAAGAAGAGCATCCACATAAGAGAAATTGAAACTCATCAACTTGAACACATGAATAAAGAATGTTACTTACATTATAAGGCCCTGATACAAGAGCTGGAACCATACGAACTTACATCTTTTTCTATGCTTCCTTCTAACTGAAAGTGACTCATTAAGCAAGAAAGAACCAATTTTGGAATAAGTAACTGAAGTTCACTGAGACATATAAACAAACAGTTGGTGTGCAAATCAGAATATTTTCAATTCCACCAACAGGGATGCCATTGTTTATCATATTCTTCTATATCTTCGAACCTAAAATCAAGAACTGGGAATTTAGAGAAAAATCGAACCATATAAAAATCTCAACTGATTGGAATCGAGAATTGACAATTTATGGGGCTATCCTTATCACTCTACTTTCTTCCAAATACCCACAATAAACATGATATCTGAATAAAGAAGATAACATGATACCTGAGATGCCGTTTACGGTTCGTGGAGGGAAAACGAAGCAGAAGAGTTGTTGCAAAAAAGGAGCAGACCGATCAGGAGGCAGCTAAAGAATTCCATATAGCTACACAGGCGGCGATGATTGGTCAAATTAAGTACCTAAGCAGTCGGGAAGTAGATGGAGGTTAACAGAGCGATGGTGGCTCCCAAACCTCCACCAATCGATGACGGTGATAAGGACAGAAGCCCTAATTGAGAAAGTGAAGATGCATACACACGGTTGTAGCAGGGTCATGGTCGACATGTGCATCAAAACACAACTGATGCGGCCGAAGATCGATGGAAGGGGAGGAGACGATTTTTTGGTTGTCAATGGAAGAGGCAATAGGGAGGAGACACAAATAAAATACGAATGATATGAGAGGCTAGGGTTTAATAGTTGGTCAAAGAGATTTTTATGGTAATTTCCATGAATTAAGGGATTTTATTTTAATTATCATGCTAAAGTTACATAATTACCCTTATTACAATTTCTAATTATTTACTTATTCCTAAATTTCTATTGGTGCATTCATGCACACAATAGTTGCTAGAAACATTTGAACATATATATATATATATATATATATATATATATATATATATATATATATATATATATATATATATATATACTCGTGGTGTACCCGTACGATGCAGTGACAACGAATGACATCTTTCGAAAAATAATTTTCGGGCGGCGATTACTTTCATTTCCGTGTGCTCATTTTGATTAAAAACAATGTAAATTTATGTTTTTGTTTAAAAATAAATGTATCTTTCTATTTTTATTATTTACGTAAGTTTTTGTTCTTTCAAGTTAAAAGTAAATTAATTTTCTGTTTTGTTTTAAAAAAAAAGAAATATATTGTTGTTTTGTGTTAAAAAAATTTCTTTTACTGTTTTTTCTATATAATTATTAGTACGTTGCTTTTTCATTTTAAAATTTAAATAAATTGTTTTTTAAGTTGAAAATAAAATGCATAATTTCGTATATATCATTGTTAAACATTGAAATATCATATTTGTCAGACCCAACATTTAAATATCATATTTGTTTTTCTTACTGTTTTAATATATATATATATATATATATATATATATATATATATATATATATATATCCAAATCTATTTTTTATAATTTTTATTTATTCATAATTCTTTTTTATATTCTTAAATTATTATAATTGAAAAACATATTAAAAAGTAACAATATTACTCCTTGATTTTGACCGCATGATTTCGACAATTAATTCACTTTTTGCAATTGACCATTTCGATTCTTGATTTTAAGAAGCTAATAGTTTTTACTTTTTAACCTACCACTCTTGTTATTGTAACACTATTTGCAATTGACCATTTCGATTCTTGATTTTAAGAAGCTAATAGTTTTAATAGAATCTAGATGGGGATAGACCGGTGTGTGTAAAGCAAACATGTTTGATTGCTTGTACCATTCACGCTTTCCGGCAAACGAAGTGGTGGAGTTATCCATGGTTTAAATCAATTTAATAAAATTAATGAGCAATTTCATATTCAATTATGAAAAATAATAAATTTAAAACTTGTATATAAATTTAAAATCAAATAAGTGACATGGTTATAAAATAAGGATTGTATCTTGGTCGATTGATATAATGAAAGGAAAAAAAACATAATAACATGTAACTTTATAAACACTGAAACTCGCTTCTAATGTTCAAATTATAAAACTTTTAAATATTTTTTGAAAAATTAGTAATTATCAAAATACCATAAGGTCATATAAGTAAATTGTTGCCAAAATAATGATAAAGCATATCGATGTGTACACATCAAATTGTTTATGTTTTATATTTTGATATATTTTAATTTATTGAATTCTTGAATGTTATGATAAACTCGTGATAATAAGTTTTAATGTATAATATATAAAAGGAAACGGAGAAATATATATGTTACATGTAATAATATTGTTTTAATATAAATTGTAATGATATATATCATTTTAATAAATTCCATATGATTTATGATGTTGTTAAAATAATAGAAACAAAATAATTATTAGACTTTATAATTAATTAATAAGTAATATAGTTAACACATCAATATATATTACATGTAATAAATTTGTTTTATCATTTTAATAAATTCCATATGATAATTATTTAATTTATGTTAAAAATAATAGAAACAAAATAATTATTGGACTTTATAATTAATTAATAAGTAATATAGTTAACGCTTCAATTTTAAATAAAGCACTTATGTTTGGATCTTATAAGTACATAGCTTGTTATTTTAATCTAAATTGATTTATATCCAATATGTTAAACTATGAAAATTAAATAAGAATACAAATTTATTCAAAGTTAAATAGCTATTATTAATTGAATTAGTAACGATAAGTATAAAAGAAATAAAAAAACACCTTGTCTTTTAAACGGAAATCATTAGTAATTTAGAAATGATAGTCACTTTTTTTTTCTTTTTTCAGACAACTTTATTTTAAGAAAAAATAACAAAAACTGTAATATATTATAATCATCATCATTTGTTCCTTCAACCAAGGCACTTGAGTAGCATCTTGGAATACATGGAAAAAATCAACTGATTAGCATTTTGATAGCTTTTTAGTTACGATCCCGTTAAGTTATCTTATAATTTAAAGTTATCGTCAACTCACCATTCTATTAGTTTTAAGCTCCAATTAAATTAGATTTCCAATGATTAACCTCAACATATCTTTTTTTAAAAGTTTAACTAATTGATCCATATTTATATAAATTGTTTCTTAAAACCCTTTCGTTTAATTAGTTGTTTTTTTAAACACATCATATTTTTATTAAAATATGGTCTGTATTAAATTTTACTGTCGTTATAATATATAAACATTTGTAACATCTAATAGA